GAAATTGATTGTCTTGCAGTTTGAAGGCTAGGATTCCAAGGTCAAGGTGTCAGCAGAGCCATGCTCCTTCTGAAGACCTTAGGGAAGGTTCTGTTCCAGGTTCTCTCCCAGCTCCTTGTAGTTCCTTGGCTTATGGCAACATAACTCCAATTTTAGGACTCCAACATACAAATTTTGGGGGGACACAATCCAACCCATAGCAGGAGAGAAGCCATAATTTCCATGCATATGGCACCGTGTATCTTACTCGGATGAACTCTAGAACACCATGATGGGATCCGGTCAAAATGGACTGGCATCTGGCCTAGTCTCCAGTGGGGAGGCATTTCCTGATCAGCAAGGGGAATCCACAGGCAGTTAATTCACAGGTTATTTCTTACTAATAAATCAATAATCTTGGCTGAATATGGTGAGATTAAAAAATCATCCTTAGGCCAAATAAGAATTTTTTTATGGGCATAAATTCCACCTCCATAGAAATGTCTAAGCAAAACCTTGATTAGCTATTTGTCAGGAAAGATTTAAAAGGATCTTTTCATTTAAAAGATGGTTGGGAGTCTGTATTGTCCTCAGTCTTAAAGATTCACGTCACAGAGTAAACAATACGGAATTATCTGTTCTGGATAGTTTAGATATTCAATTGCCTAAATGTCGGGGCGGGGAGCAAATCACTCAATCTCTTCTAAGTGTTTTCTGTTAGGATTTTTAGAAATAGCTTTTAAAGCCATTTTGATTGAATGGAATAATTTTTCAGAAAGACCATTCTGTTTTCACTTGTTAAGCCATTTAATCTTTAACACAATTTAAGTATGTTACCGGATAAGCCAGGAAGAAGACTTGGTTCTCCATTCCATATTTCATCGATTCGAATACACCCATTTTTCACATCTAAACATCTTCGAAATTGGGATGTGTAATAGACAACTGCTGGCACTGTCAGATCCCTCTGCCACTCTCATGCACGTTGGCTCCCTGCCCTTTCACTCTCAACAGGCAGTACTTGCATCTTTCGTTGCAGGGCTGTCCTCAGGCTGCAGGAACACATTTTGCACAGATAATTGGAAGTTCCCTGGAAATTTAATCCCCCAACCCCTGGCCCCCAGTTTAACCAATGACTGATGATGGTACAGTGGTATAAATACTCCCCGCTCTCTGGCCTCTGACTTGGACATCTGCATTGTCTCCAGAGTCCCCTGTGGAACTGAGCCCAAGTCACTCTGTGGTGAGCTTTGCTTGACATATCTTTGTGTGGGTTTTTTTCCTTTTCTTTTGGGTTGGCCCCATTTCTCTACTTCCCCACTATTTTTTTCCCCTTGGGCCGCTTCCTAATTCACACAAATCCTCATCAAGAGGAACCCAATATATTAAAGAATGTTACTTACAATCAATGATGTCTTGCAGTTGTTCTTGGCCAGGCAGCAATAATGATATAGTCGTCTTTGCCTGTGCATGCATCAGTTTGGTTGTTTTTTCTGTGATATGACTGGACTGTCATTTTTTTATTACTACTTTTAGGACAATAAACCATTTAAGGACTATTTGAGGAGGAAATAAAAATCCTGATTATTATTTAAAAGTTTTCTATTAAATCCTTTTGAAAAGATCAAAAAAGCACCAGCATCAAAGTTGTAGAATGGATGTCAAAGACTTAGGGGAAAAAAATCCCAGAGACACTATTGAAGCACTCCTCTAACTTCATCTTGATGACATGCTACTGTGAAAAATGTGGATGTTGACAAATCTAATTCAAAAAAGAGAGTTAGATTCTGAATGTACGGACACTTTAGGAATATCACAATTTATATTTCATTTTTCTTCATATATACACATGGCAAAAAAAATCTATGTTTAAACAGCTCTTTTAGATTTACTTAAAGGGCTACAATTCTAACTACTATGTCATATTTTAAATGCCACTTTTCATTTTTAGTTATACACAGAATAATGAGTCTTATAATAGATGAAATACTAATTGGGAATATGGTACTCATAGAGATAGAAGAAATATAATCAATGAACAATCTTAGCAATATTGGAAAAACTTATATAACTTAATAGACTTTTTACTTTCTATGATTTATAGTAGAATTCCATTGTTGAATGAAGAACCATCAGCGTTTGGTCATATTTTTGAAATTTTGTAGACTTTAGTCTATTAAATATTTCTTATTCCTCCAATGCGTGTATGTGTGCACTTCTGTGGTATATATACACACATAAGATACATATGCATACATACACATACATGATGGTCACCACACAAAAATAAAAAGGTGGCATTAGATTAAATATATGGATTACTTCTCTGAATGATACAACTGCTCAGTATAAAGAAATCAGATCTGCCCGTAAACGTCTTTTCATATTCCATTCCAGAGAAATTCCTGACCTTCCAAGGTAACTTTATTATCCACTCGATTTGTTTTGTCTTCCTGTTTTCCTCTTCTATATTTGCTGATGAAAGATGAATTTCTCCATTGTGAAACAGAACAGCCAGGCAATTCCAGTGGGGCCAGTTATAGATGAGATAATTTCTGCAATTTCAGAGTACTGTGGCAATACATAGCTCCCTAGTGCCAAATCAATTCTGCAGTAACGTGATTAATTAACCTATAAGAAAAGAAGTTTGAAAGCTGCTGCCTTGAAATGCACTAACCTTGTATTTTGATTTTAGGTTTTATCTACCCTTCCATACCAAAAATCATTCTGTTGTATTACTTCAAAACCTTGGGCAAATCAACAGTGTTTGAGTATGTGCTTTACAATCTTTTCACTGCAATCATACTGTGAGTTTTATGGCCAAACTTATGTAGCATACACTTCTCTCTTCAGCGAAATCCATTATATTGTTCTAACATTAGTGGAACTAGTTAGTATAGATATGCTTAAACTCCTACCTCATTTTCTTTTTCATTTGATTTGTCTTTCTGTGCGAGAAGCAGGAAACAGCTAAAAGAGTTTTTGAAAAAAATAAATCACCTTTTAAATTTATTCTATAAGCATTTATTAAATTTAACTGTGACATGTCTTGTGTGAAGGATAAAAAATAATATATGGACTCTAACTTGGACTCCGCATCTAGTAGGAGAGACACATGGCCCACTTTCTTACTCAAATTAATTACAAATATAGTGTGATGCAGACTTTAGACAGCTGGGGTGGGATTTTAGAACTTGAATCCTCCCAGTTAACCTTCTCAGCCTCTGGTGTTTTTGATAAAAATATCCCAAAGCAACAACAGACAATCTGGGCCATTTTCCCGTCTTCCATTTCCCTCCCATCTTCATCTGATTCACTCACCTAGTTGCTGATGTTCAGTGGAACAGCCACAGAGAGAATAGATGGCATTAAACAGAGTTCCAATTTTCATTACCATGTGGAGAAAGCAACTCTTGGGGTGGAAGTTCTTGCTCTACCACTCCTAAGTGGGAAGAGGGGCTGGGCAGGTATGTAAAAATGCAGGCATGACATGTATAGAGTCCCAGCCCTGTGCATGGGGAAGGCAGTGTGTGTCAAGGAGATCTTCACCAAAGAGGTGAATTGAGGGCGGAGACTTGGTGGATGAAAAGGAAGCTGATGTGGTAATGAGACAGGAGAAGCTTCGCAGGCAGGAAGAACAGTATTCTGGAGTGACTGTTGGGAATGAGAAGTGAGGCTGGAGAGAAAGCCAAGGGCTCAGGTAGCAGATGGTGCTGGGAACTACTGAAGAGTAGCAAGGGGGCAACAGAACAAATTTTTGTTACAGAAAGATGATTTTTGACAGAAGCATGGTGGATAGACTGAGGGGAAAGGTATGGTGGACAGGGAGGAAGCTATGTTGCCTATGTTGAAATCAGCTAGGTAAGAAATGAAAAAGGGCGAAAAACGAACAGGCCATGTATGCATGGAAGAAAGGAAAGGGAACATATTTTCACAATGTTGTAGAAGTAGCATATGCTTATTCTTTATCCCAAACTCTCCAATCAGGTAAATCAGTGCCTGGTGAAGAGGCAGAGAGAGGCCAAAAGTGTTACTCTCTACAAGGAAGATAACACCAGGGAAAGGGAATAAATGATCCTGACCAACATTAACCTCAGTCAACTTGGATTCTTTCCTCCTTTCTTTGGAGTCATTGCTAAACTCTGTGGGGCTGTCTTAGTCCACTCAGGCTGCTTTAACAAAATATCTTAGATTGGGTAATTATAAAAAATAGAAATTTATTGCTCAGAGTTCTGGAGGCTGGAAGTTCAAGATCAAGGTGCCAGCAGATTTGGTGTCTAGTGAAGGTTTGCTCTTTGCTTCAAAGATAGCAACTTATTGCTGCATCCTCAGGAGGTGGAAGGGCTGGGACTCTCTCAAGCCTCTTTCATAAAGGGACTAATCCTATTCATGAGGATGGGTCCCTCATGACCTAATCACCTCCCCAAAGCTCTCCCTCTTAATAACATTACTTTGAAGGTTAGGTTTCAATATGAATTTGAGGAAAACACAAATATTCAAACCGTAGCAGAGACTTACCTAGTGCCAAGGCCCCCTGGGTCTGGATGGCCTGACATTATTGTTCAAACTGGTTTCCACTGAGAGACCATGTCAGTTGAATGGAAAAGATCCTCACCAAGGTCCAGTAGGTCTTCCTGCTACTCCTGGGCTGGAGGAAGCTCACTAAAGTTGTCCAAGGCCCCACTTGCCTAGACACACCACATAATCATTTCTATTCTAGGGGACAGTGATGAATGGCATGCCTCTGCTCTTAAAACTGACACACGTAACTGGGGTTTTGCTGCTAGATGGTGAGTAGGAAAGCCTTGCTCTCACTTATCACATGTGCCCTTAAATCTTTGAGATCTAAATTATGAATCTTTTCCAGGTCCCTAAGGAGCTAGACTTTTGAAACTCAAAAAAACATGCTTTCCTCTGACTTCTTATATATCACACCTTTTCTTAAGGCAATGAACATTAAATGGCCTAGTAGTTCAAATATGGGATAAAGAACAGGGAGAAAGAAAATCAACGAAAAAAGCTCTGGTTAATTTCAGTTGTATGTCCTTTGCACGGAATACAAATTATACAAGGGCTACTAGAATCACATCTGCCTTGCATTGTATCTCTAGTACTTAGCAAAGTATCTGGCATCTAATGACACTCGGTAAGTGTTTAAGTGAATAAATGAATACAAGACAACGAGAGCTAAACTAGGAACTAAGTCTTAAGTTATATGGACAGCACACGAAACATTTGCCAAATATGCATTGAATGGCTACTGTGTGACAGACTGGCAGAGCCTGAGGATACAATAGTGAACAAGGACAAAATTCCTACCCTTATGGAGCTGATTCCCATTATCACTTCCATTATTGAGGAAGACAACAAACAAAACAAAATTAAGACAAATTAATAAATAAGTTAGAAGGAATAAACAAGCAGAAGTGATATAGAGAATAATTTGGTGATGGGGCAATGGAGATATAGGGCGGCAGAGATATTGACCTGATTCCCCTTTCCCTCAAACCAACCCCATGTCCAACAGTAAAAATTGAGCTTTTGGGGAGAAAATGGACAGAAGCAGTGTAAGTTTAAATGTCAAAAGTCACACGAAGAGTGCACATACAGAATTGTAGTTAATATTGACAAAAACATCACACAGGCATAATGATATTACATGTGCATCACTGTGGTTAAAACACTTTGGGTATTTCATTTCTAAAGTTAAGCTCCACAGGCATATTCTGTTTAAAGTTCTTTTCATCTTGTCAAAAGTTATATGCGATAGAGTGTGTAAATTGTTTTAATGTTAGTTCAGTTCTTTCTTTATATGTAGTGTCGAGATGTCAAGTGTGTTGACCCTTCAAGAAGTTGCACTTCACTTAACAGAGAAAATAAAAATGTCCCATTTCTCCCCAGAAAAAGGATAACATTTTCTAATTGTGCAAACACTTTATGAAAGTATCATTTGACTCTATATTTTGACAGCTGCTTTGCATTTATTATTGGAGAGGCTCTTCATACAGCATGTTCCTTTTTTTCTTTTCTAGTCAAAGGGTGTTAATATTATTTTGGAATTTTTCATATTTGAAAAAGTGATAAAGGGCCTCTCTTCAGGGGTTCTTAATAAACAAACCCCTAACTTCTAATCCCTTTATGGAAAAATAAAAGGGTTTTGAGAAAAAAGAAAGATGATTTTAGATTATGAGCTCCTTGCTTTGTGAATCAGTACTATCGAACATAGTAACATAAAAACTTTGCATTGGGGAAAGGCAACGCACGTAACCTAAACATTTGTGCCCCCATAATATGCTGAAATAAAAAAGAAGAAGTGAAAAAACCTTTGTATTAATTCTGTTATTTAGTAGGTGCTCAGGAAATGTTTGGTGAATTGAACTCGTTTGGGAAGAGGCAGGGGATTGTTATCCTTATTTATACAAATGGGGAAACTGAGGCCCAAAGAACTTGTAGGTGGATTTGTATTGTGCTTTCTACCCAAGTTAGTTCATTTAAAAGTTGGTTCTCACCACCGTTATATGTAAAGTAGGAAAACAGAAGAGTAGTGACATGTTTGACAGAAATATGATGAATTAGTCACTACTAGACTTCCCTATACGCAATGAATTAATCTCTGCTGCTGAAGGAAATCTAAAACCTAATGATTAAAAAATTCAGGTTCTTAGACAATGGTGGGATTGAAGATTATTCTTTTAAGGCCAAAAAATAATCAGAAATCTATTGGCAATCTTTGGACTAAAAATTGTCCTGCCATATACAGAAAAAAGGCTTTCTGACACTATTTGTGGTAGTATAAATTGGTTCTACTTTTATGGAGGATTTATGAATATCTACCAAAATTAAAATGAACATAACTTTGACCTAGCTTTGACCCAGCAATTTAACTTTATGAATGTATTCAGACCATAGACATACTGACATAAGAGTGCAGAGATACATGAGGAAAAGGATTTAAAGGATATATGAATGTTCACTGCAACATTGTCAATAATAGAAGAAAATTTAAAATGTTCAAATGTTCATCAGTAAATTGCTGGTTACACAAATTACTTGAAAAGATGACCACAATATAACAAGTCAAAAGCAAGCTGCTTAATAGCATGATTTCCTTTGAGTGAAAATACTCAACAAAGAATCAGTAACAGCTATCTCTAGAAAGTGAGGTGGGCTATTTTTTTACTTTATTCATTTGCATAGTGCTTGATTTTTTAATGAAAATAGAGTCTTTTTAAAATTTAAAAATTAAAAAGAAGCTATTTAGTCCTGGCCATATGAGAACTTTGTTGTTCTTGCTTTTATTAATAAAAAAACCAAGGGTAAGTAGAACCCAGAATGGGTTAGCTATTGCCCCACTGCACCACAATGCCTAGCACGGTGCCTGCCACATTGTTGGTGCTCAATCAATATTGTGAGGGAATGAGTAAGGATGGCTAACCCTGGTCGCTCTTTAGGAAAGTGAGATGGAGGGACACAAGAACATTCAGGTTTTCTAACCCTTAAATCTGAGTCAGTGGGTCAACTAAGAAGAGTTTATGATGACCACACTGACAGGGTTGATTTGTGCTAAAGGATTGGCTACACAAAGGTCAACTCACCAAAACACAGTTTGAGGGTTCTATTTGCATTGGAAAAGTATTCTTACTGAGCCCTTCCCGCCATAAGTTTCTTTAAGTGTCTCTTAAGGCATTTACCTGTTGGTTTAGAGGTCACAGAAGCATAAGGAAGGAATGAGTGTTCAACTGGTCCAGTTATTTCAGACACTGGACCTCCTCAGCAACATTCCCACAATGAGTTCAGATTGACCAAAACCTGCTAGGACAGTGCTTCCATTTTCTCCTGGGGGATTCTTTACCCATCAGCTCTAACCACCAGAAAGTTCCTCATGGCACTAAACTAGAACCAGTCTCTTTATAAAGTTGACCCAAGGACTATGAATCTAAGCAGCCCTGCACAGTGGTTTAGAGAACAGGCTTTGGAATCAGAGACCTGCTTTAAACCCTGGCTTGTACATGCACGTGCTGTGTGACTCTCAGGCAAAGATTACTAACTCTTTTTGAACCTAAGTTTCTTCTTTTCAAAGTGGGGATAACTGTAGCTCCTGCTTGATGGAGCAATTTAGGAAGATCACAAAATAATATATATATATACACTGTTCATCAAAATGTAAGGCATAAAATACTCAATAAATAATATCATTGCAATTGTAGGTATTTAACAGAAACAGGAAGGAAAGTGGTGCAAAACAGCAGTAAAAGATGAGGTGTGTCTTCAGTGGACTGTACACCTGAGGACCTTGATCTCAAGTCACTCAAGCATCTCCTCTGGGTTTTCCTTACTAGGAAAGCACTCAAAGTAGGTGGAGGAAAATTTCATACTTAATTTTGGCAACAACAACAAAAAAGTCTGTACTTTAATAATGATAGATGCTAACTTATAAAAGTATTCCAGGTGTTTGAGAATCCGCTTACTTCTGGGGCATGCAATAAAACAGCCCCTTCTGTGCTGCTCTCAAAATTTGTCTCCCTGAAGCTTCCTAATAGTCAAGTAGCTGTCAGGAGAAACACAAGTCCTCTCTAGCCATTCTGAAACTTTTCTCAGGGTTAATGACTGCCTATCAGTCTGGATTTGACTTTATATTATTACTCAAGAAATAAATCATAAATCCTAGCTATAGTCAGGATTGTATGGGTGAGCATAATGTATACACATATTCACCATATATATATCTGTATTATATCATATGAAATTCAGTAGACCAGGAGATTCAGGATCTAGGTCTAATCTTGACCCAGCCATTAATTCACTGTCTGGACTCCTATACATATTCATTTATAAAATGGTTACAACTGATGGTTCTTGCACTATATTCTAAGGAGTCTAGGTTTGCAGAGCAGTGTTGGGGGCTGCTTTAGTTGGGCTCCAGGCCTCCATCTTATCTCAAGCAGAGAAGTAATATTTAAAAACATACTTCCCTTCTCATCAACTCCTCTCAAAGGCTCCTTCTGGCAAGGGCAACCTAAATAGGGCAAACTACTCCCTTCACTTTAGAAAAATACGAGCTGCTGAAAGAAGCCGGTTGAAACAACATGACAAGGCAGTGCTCCTACCTGGTGAGGGTTTGGGGGTGCAGAAGGAGGAAGGGTTTATAGGAGAAGAATAGTGGGGTTACGGAGGGGCCGTGTTTGAGTGAAGAAGTGCCTGCTGAAGCTCTGTGGAATGCACAGCTGTAGAGCCAGCTGCATCAACAGAACCGTGGTGCCCTGCATGTTGGGCTGTGACCTCCCTCTCTGGGAACAGCAGGGTGCTGGAGAAGGGACTGGACTCAGAATCAGAAGACTTAGGTGTGAGTCTCAGTCCCAGGACAGGGTGCTTCATCTCTCTGAATTGCTATTTCCTCAACTGAAAAACAAGAATAAAAATAACTCACTAGATTAGCCTCACAGGTATGTTGTACAGTTTAAATAAAATGAGGCCTGAAAAGCATTCTATAAATTAGAAAGCCCCATAAAGATGTAAGATGTATTCGGTAGCCCATAGACAGATGTCTAAATCTTTAGATAGATGTCTAAATCTTATCCTTAAACCCCAAACACTTGCTAAGATCACTTTCCTAAGAATATAAAAGTTTAGTAAATTAGCAAATAAATGAAGTGTTTCACTATGTCCACATAATTTTTCAATATATCAATTATAAAAACCATCATTGTCTGATACCACATGAAGAACTACGTATAAAATTACAAAGATCTAATTATATATGAAAAAGTATATAATAAAATCAAATCATATGTGATTTCAAAAAATATGACTAGATTATTCTTAAAGAAGTACTGTAGTGGTAATTGTTCTTTTAAATGTATACCATAGTATCAAAAAGTTTTACAAAAATACCCTAAATCCAGAGTCTATTTCACACTTTAAGTAGTGCAAGTTGTACTCCTATTTTAGACTGTTGCATCTCAGAGTTGGGTGTTATGTGTCTTTGCTTGTCATCCACGTAGACTGAGATGCCAGAAGACCGTGGAGCTCCACTTCCTATGGAAAACCATCAACTTTTCTGGTCGGGAGGTTCTCTAGAGCAATCCTCTTCATTCTCCTCTGAGCAAGACAGATTCAGGACACTCATCACCGGATGGATCCAGGACGTAGTCTGTGTTACGTGACTTGAGAAGAACAAGGAATACAATTAGAATCAGAAAGATTGTCTTTCTACCCATCCATGCAAGTACTGATCCTGGAGACACTGCTTCCACCCTACTGCAGTCCCTGTGATAGGAAGCAGTTAGAACTGGATTCAATAGTTGTAACAAATCTTAGATTTGTCTTAAGGTTCAATGAAAACCATTTCTCTCCTCCTTCTTTGGCAAAAATGAATCCAAGCCAATGCATCATTGACTCCTCTCTCTTCCTTACTAGATAGTCAGTCAGCAAGTCCTATGATGGCCCAGCTGTGACATCTCTGGAATCAGTATCTTCCTTTCCTTTTTCAATGCAATAGCCTAGGTCACTGGAATAGCTTGTCTCCCTGCTTCTGTTCTAGTTCTTTTCTAATTTGTCCTCCACTCCAGCCCAGAGAACTTTCTAAATGACAAATCATCCACTATTACTTACTTGCTAAAAATTCAGTGCCAACCAATGTCTTCTGGATCAAATACACACTCTACCGTATGAAATAAGCTTGGTTTTCTCCCTGCCTCAACAATATCTTCTTTGCCATAATCCTCCTCCTTGAGGAGTTGACTCACACTAATTCTAAAGAACCAAATCTCCCTCAAGATTCCTCCAATCTGTGCCTATAGTCTTATCTCTCATTACACTATATTATGAATGCCTGTTTATTTTTAGGCCTTCTTACTACATATGAAGCTCCCTGAGGGCAGGAAATATGTTTCTTATCTCTCAAGTTATGGTACCTGACATGTTCTCAGAACAAACAACTAGTATCCTGAAAGGTGTTTCAGGAAAAGAACATAAGCAGAGATAAGGAAGGAAGTACAACAGATATTGGGCACGTGTAGGGAGTAGTGAAACAACATTGCAAGATCATGCTCCTACCTGGTGGATGGTATTTCTCACACCTAGTGTCCTGCTCCCAGCCTTTGGCTGGATGAGTCTCCTAAATCTACCACCGTCCTAAGTGCCGGATGGATGGATTCTGGAACTAGGGTGGAGATTGGTTTCTTCTCCTTGGATACTCCTTCTAGCCCTGGTTTACCTCCCTGCCCTCATTAACACTTGATCAGTTCCCCAGCCTTTTTCTACCCAAACTCAACTTGAGAAGCAGCATCCTGTCTTAGATCAAGGGTATCTGAAGGTCAGAACTTCCCAAGGTCACATAAGATTATGGATCTGAAAGTACCTCCTATGTTATAATGTAACACTTTTCCAAAGTGTGTTCCCAAAAGCTTTTCACAAATTTTATGTGAAGAATATAATTCTATGGTCTAATAAATTTGAGATTCACTAGATCAAACATAGTTAAATATGTTTCTTTACCGTGGGATTTCTGAGTGCTCTAGCATGCTCTATAAGTCTCCAAAGGTATACAATATTAGTCAAACTAACATATCCCTGTTAACATACATGGAACAAGTGTTCCATAGAACACAATTTGAGAACCATCACAAAAATGCATTCAGCTTGGCTGAATGGCAAACTGATTGGCTATTGATTATAATAACTGAAAATGTTGGACTTAGCACAAATGATCAGTTCCATTGCCATGACTGGTTTAGGTTGTTTTCAGTCTTGCACTCTACATTTTGTTCATATGCCACTACACAAATTGTTCAGCTCCTCTGTTTAAATATTAAAAATGTATCTTTCCATGGAAGATGATTACTTGTAGTTTCATGATGGGGTGAAAGAGTTCAAGTTGTTTAAGAATCAAGGTGAAAGTGACAAGGCTCAGACATCTTCATAGTTTTAAAACCTCAGAGTGTGGCTGAGTGGTAAAAAGAATCATTATTCTCTTGACAATAATCCACATTACTATTCTGTCTTTAAAATGGTTTAATAGAATTTCTTATTATGGAGGCCAAATTCACCAGAGCATTTGATTCGGTACAGGTTAACTTCATTTCAGGGACTTTATAAGTCTGGAAAGCTGCCTAACTTGAAAGTGGTTTTAAAGAAATACTAATGAGTGTAACATAAGAAGGCTGGAATGCCACTGCAAGGTGAAATGAGGACACGTTGCCCTGCACAAACTATGTGTTTAAAACTAAATGGAAAAAGCTGCATGAGACAGCTTTGCTTATTTTAAAATCCTGATGTATATATACTTTAATGTTTATCAGTACATTTATAATATATTAGTCCAAAGAAGAGACTGTAATTTAAATTATTTCAAATCCTTCCTCCCCTATAATGTTCCATGATTGGGAAGGATGGGATAAAAGAAAAACAAGAACAGTTACCTGAGAAATAAGTTCAGGTGCATGCTTTGCTATTTGACTTTTTATAAATATTCTCATGTTTGAAATATAACTGCCTACATATGGTCATTCCATGACATTTTTAATTTAAAATAATAAAAAACAAAAGTTTAAGAAAAAATACAGTTATAGACTCTGAACAATGAATATTACAAAGTTTTACCAGAAAGTCATCCTTGCCAGTAACCTTCATTCATTAAGCACTTTTTAACAACAGATCAACATATGATCTTATTCCAAATATAAAAGTAATATCATAAACATTGATTAATCTTATAATTTGGTTAATATCATAGTCACAATATGCTTTTTTATATATGCCTAAAAACATCCCCCCAAACATCAAGCATGCAATTACAACAGCTACTTACTAGAAAAACAAAACTGAGCTAAAAGAAAGATGTGTTCTGTGCTTCAAGTACATATTTCAGATCTAGGTCTTTGTTAAAAACATCCAGAATCAATGGGACACAGTGCTTCTGAAACTCAGGTAATGCATGCAAAGTGCCTGGCAGAGAGTAGATAATCAATTAATAATCACGGCTAGTTTTATTGATAATTAGGGCTTTCTGATTATTTTAAGAAAAACTTGGAATTCTTTCTATGATGCTGGAATGTGGCCATTTCTGTGTATACTATTCAATTTTATGTCCTAGTGAGCACTGTGGCTAAAGAGCTTTGACATAATCGGTATGATGAGATAATCCCAGATTTACTGGCTTGGAGAACATTTTAGTATTGAAAATATTTCCTCTCTGATTTGTGTGGTTGGATATTCTAGAAGAGAATAAATCAGCCTTGTTGACTCTGTTTAATTAATAAAGACCCCATGGTTCATAAAGGGAGACATTGCTACTTAGTATAAAAAATGTAGAGGTCTGGAAAATAAATGAAGCTGACTATGAAACATGAAAATCTTCCATTTGAACATACAGTACCTCTGGCAAATGTTCCTGCAGAGATAGTGCATCTGACCTGATTTGGAAAGCAATCAACAGCAGTTCAGATATATTTGAAAATCTAAAAAGCGTAATACTATTTGCCTCTGAATGGTTGCCAAATCTGTTGTTGGAAAACAATAATATTCGATCTCGGAAGATGACAGTATTCTGTTTTTAAAAAGAATATTAGTAAATTGAAAGACATATTTTAGAGCTTACAAAAAATCTAAGCGAACATGCTTTATTTTATTGGCAAAGAAATGTAAGTGAATTATTTAAATCCCATTATAATTACCCTCCTTATGTTTCTTACCTCCTAGCTAAAGGAGCAAAATGCTTTCTTTCAAAATAAAAATTTAGGACAGCCTGTTAAGCAAAAAGTGCTTTAAAGACAAAAAGTGCAGTAGTTTTGTAGAAATTCATTCTTATAACCGTTGGTGATAATGAAAGAGGTTCTTTTGTTAATATTCCATTGTAGATGGCACTATTTATATATCCTTGCAAATTCAGCAAGACTTGCATGCACTATTTTATTATGTTTAAGATAACACTGCAGAGTGATGAGCTCAAAGTAATTAACTTCCAATGTCATTTATTTTGGAGGGGGGAATAATCTTATGCATATAGTATTCATATGAATGAGAAAACAAAGACAAACAAGTAAATAATATGTTAATATAATTTGTTTCAGGCACCAGTAACTTTGAATCACTGGAAAATTTTACAACTGGCCATAACTGCAAGTAGTAATGGCGATAAAAGATTTGTACTTAAAAATAATCCCAACTAAAAACAAATTATTAATAGAAGGTAAGAACACAAAGCAAATCATGTCAATAAAATTACAAAACAATAATCAAATCATGATAAGGCAGCATGTAATTTTGTCACAAACACTGGTTATAAGAATAACTACAGATTAGTAATATGAAGTATCCATTACAAAATATGTTTAAGAGAAAATTACAGGCATTTTGTCCCCACTGATATATAAGGAGTCCTCGCTTACATAATTTTGGAAGTATGCCCCTAAAATCAACATGACTATGTCCCATTAATGAACATTGTAAATATCACAGAATACTTTGAGCATTTTATAATTAGGCATTTGGAAATCCAGTGAGGCTCTGACTGAATATTAGGAGGATCTCATCCAAATGTCTATAGTCTTGAGGACATATTTTGTTTTTATTGTATGTTTATGGTACTTTCTATAAAAAAATCAGGTATCTTTTGAAATCTTAAAAATCTAATTAATTAAAAAATCTTTAGGTCTCAGATATCAAATAACATTACAAGAATCTAAAGCTATAGTAATATATTACTTATGCATAATATTGGGAAAAATTGCTGTTAGTAGACTTATAAAAGATGAACACTAAAAATTCCTGAGGAAAAAATATGAAAAATAATATATACAGGCCTGGATTGCTATTGATTAGTGCATGATGCTAAAACATGCCAGGTCCAAAGCTGATATAATTAATTTTTCAAAGAATGAAACAGCTCTGTAGTCACAGATTATAGCCCTGGTTAACTGTTAAAAATTGATGCTGGTTTTGATCATGATAGGCCAAAATATATAGAAAAAAAACAAAGAACTACTGACACTGATACCTATACAATGAACTACCAGGTACTAATAAACAGTTATTAATATATAGGATTACATAGTTGATATATTTGTACTTTCTTATAATATCCTTTGGCAGTGTCTACCAAAAATTTGTTTTTCATTCCATACTCTAAAGTTGTCATTAGGAGGTAGCTGCCCCAGCAAAGACT